GTATTATACATTTACTTTGACTCTAATGCCAAAGTCTTAAGAGTAAATTTGGCTCTTGCTTGTGTATGTGTGTATGAAGAACTCATCTGGTTTGAGTGATGTTGAACCTTCTCATGTAAGGTTTAAATTTATCTAACCCAACCATCTTTTGAAATCAGGGCCTTGTATAATGTTATGCAGGTACCTGTCCATTAGAGTATCTAATATTTCCAGTGAACATAATCCTACCATTTCTCTGTGCAACATATGGGTTCTCATGCTTCTCTATCTCCCCATAGTCAGACAGAGGTGTCCTGACACTGTTCGTGCCTGTTGCCTTTATCCTGTCACCATATATTTATGAGAGAATTCTTCCATTTTATCTATAACTACCTTGTAGAGATTGGAAAACTGAGTAGTGCCAGGCAAAGCCTACACTTCTCCAGAATGAATAAACCAGATTTCTTCATACTTTCTTCATATATCAAGTTGTCTAATGCTCTAATTATCTTGGTGTTAGCTCCACCAAAACCTCTTTAGTTTTTCAGTCTCTCCTGAACTTAAGGATCGAAAATGGACACAGTATTCCAGTTGTGGCATATTCAGCACCAAGTAGCATGAAAAAATCACACCTCCTAATCTCCTAAGTGTGCTGCGACCAAATAGCCTGTTTGCTTTCACTGATAGAAAGCTGCACTGCTGGGTCATGTCCAGCTTGTTGCATGCTGAGACTCCCATGTCCTCCTCAGGTGCATTACACTCCAACAAGTCAGACCCTCATCTTCATTACTGTTTGGGATTATTCTAGAGCAGGTGCAGAACTTCATGTATGTCTCTTTTAAAACCTCATTGGGCCAGCCTTTCAGCTTGCTGATATCTCTCAGTATGGTGGCTTTTTCTTCTCATATTCTACTTTTCTTCCCAGTCTTTCATCATCAGCAAGCTTGGCACAAATGCATTTGAACCTTTCAGCCAGACTGTTTATAAAGATATTGAATAGTATTAAACCCAGGGTCAGTCCCTGAGGAACTCCACATATGGCCAGTTGCATATTTGACTTTGATCCATTAGCCAACAACAACTTTGAGTTCAGCAGCCTAGCCAGTTCTCCATGCAGTTTGTGTCACTTATCTGCAATATGTCTTCCCAAGCTGTTAACAAATGTGTTGTAGGACACCATTACAAATGACTTGCTAAAATTATGATAGATGCTGTTCAAAATACTACCATCTTTTATTGACTAAGTTTTTTCATAATACAAGACAATGGGGCACAGTTTACCATTTGTAAATTGGTCCTGGCTTCTTCCAGTCACTTATTCTGTCACATCTTGCAGACTTGTATGTGTTCAGTTTTTACAGAAGGTTTGTAACTTGACCCTACTGTACTGTTGAGTGGCTTGCCATTTGCTTTGCCACTACTTCCTTTCACAGGAACTTGGGGCTAACTTTAGTTGTTTAGACCAATGCAAGAAAGGCATCAGACATGTCCCCCTTTTCTGTGCCATTTTTGACTTAACTTGTCAAAGCCACTCAGCAGCAGGCTTGCACCTTCCTTGTACTTCTGTATGCTACTACCATGCCTATAGGAGCCTTACTTGTTTTCACAATATATCTTGAAAGCTCCCTCAAAGTCTTCCAACACTTTCAAAAGCCCACTCATCCAAAGCAGACAGTTCTGGGATCCTTCATAACAGGTTTGTAAGTCAAGTTGAAATCTGTTCTTATGAAGTTCTGGGTCTTTATTCTCCTACTTACCTTCCTCTGGCTCTTAAGACATTAAACTCTATTACTGTCCCTGCAGCCCAGGCTACTGTTGAAGGCCATAATAATGGGTATTGTATCTACCTACCTACCTATCTATGCAGGATAATGAAAGGATACAGACCTCTGAAATAGCAGCACCCACAGGCCATAAAAACAGATGTAAATTCCTTGTCCAGTTACCTTTGAAATACAAGTTTAATAGCATCATTAGGTACCAGCAAATACAGGACTCATCCTTCTCTGTATGAGCTCAGTAGGAGTCTCCAGTTAAACTTCAGTTTGCAGGATAACTTACAGTGAGTCACATGATCCACATGACTGTGCTATACCTACCTTTCCCACACTCCATATTTTGAGCTACAAATTATTTCTCTTCAAAAATCAGAAAAAAGGCAAGTGACACAACTCTACACCGATGCATGCAGTATGGGTAACAAACAGGGGGAGCTGGAAGCCATCATGCAGCAGGAAAGTTATGACATAGTCCCCGTCACAGAAACATGGTGGGATGATTTGCATGACTGGAGTGCTGCAATGGATGGCTATAGACTCTTCAGAAAGACAGGTGAGGAAGAAGAGGTGGTGGGGTGGCTCTGTACATTAAGGGAGTGTTTCAACTGTGCAAAGATCAAGGATAGTGATGATAAGGTTGAGTGCCTATGGGTAAGGATCAGGGGGAAGGCCACAAGCCAACATCCTGGTGGGAGTCTATTATAGACCACCTAACCAGGATGAAGAGGAAGACACAATACATAGATATAAGTGGCTGACTGATGTTTCATGATTGCTAGCCCTTGCTCTTGTGGGAGACTTTAACTTGCCAGATGTCTGCTGGAAACTCAACACAGTGGAGAGTAGGTAGTCTAGGAGGTTCCTGGAGCTTCTGAAAGATACCCTCCCAACACAGCTGGTGAGTGAGCACACCAGGGGGTAGCCCACTAGACCTGCTGTTTACAAACAGAGAAGGGCCGGTGGGATATGTGGTGGTCAGAGGTCATCCTGGGCACAGTGACCATGAAATGATGAGGGTTTGATTCTTAGTGAAATGAGGAAGAGAATTAAAAAAACCCTACCTTCAACTTCCAGAGGGCAGATTTTAGCCTATTCAGGACTCTGGTTCAGAGAGTCCCTTGTGAAACAGTCCTTAAAAACAAAGGTGTCCAGAAAGGCTGGACATACAGTAAGAAGAAAGGCTGTCCCTGTGTGCCAAAAGGTGGGCCCACGGGGAAAAAGACAGACATGACTGAACACAGAGCTTTCACTGGAACTTAGACTAAAAAGGAGAGTTTATGACCTTTGGAAAAAGGGGCAGCCTGCTCAGAAAGAGAACAAGGAGGTTGTTAGGTCATGCAGAGAGGAAATTAGAAAGGTGAAAGCTCAGCTAGAACTCAATCTGACCACTGCTGTGAAAAAACATAAAAAATGTTTTCATATATACATTAACAACAAAAGGAGGGCCAGGGAAAATCTCCATCCTTTATTGGACCTGGGGGAGAAAATTGTTACCAAGGATGAGGAAAAGACTAAGGTACTTAATACCTTCTTTACCTTAGTCTTCAACAGAGAGACCAGTTATCCTCAGGGCAACCAGCCTCCTGAGCTGGTAGACAGAGACAGGGAGCAGAATAGACACACTGCAATCAGTGAGTAGGTATTTAGTGACCTGATGAGCCACTTTGACACTCACAAGTCCCTGGGAGTGGATGGGCTTCACCCAAGGGTACTGATGGAACTGGAGAAAAAGTTTGTCAAGCCGCTCTCCATTATTTGTCATCAGTCCTGGTTAACCAGGATGACTGGAGCTTGGCAAATGCGACACCCACACACAGGAAGGGTTAGAAGGAGGATCCAGGTCTGTCAGCCTGACCTTGGTGTCAGGAAAGGTTATGGAACATGATCACATGGCAGGTAGAACAAGGGTATCGGGTGCAGCCAGCATGGGTTTCAGAAGGCAGGTCATGTTTGGCCAACCTGATCTCCTTTTATGACCAGCTGACTCACATAGTGGATGAAGTCTACCTGAACCTTTGACACAGTTTCCCATAGTATTCTTCTGGAGAAGCTGGCAGCCCATGGCTTGGACAGGTGTACTCTGCTGCGTTAAAAACTGGCTGGTTATCCGGGCCCAGGGAGTGGTTATGAATGGAGTTACATACATGTGTTGCCTGGTCACTAGTAGGATTCCGCAGGGCTCAGTACTGGGACCAGTCCTGTTTAATATCTTTATCAGTGATCTGAATGAGGGGATCGAGTGCATCCTCAGTAATTTCACAGATGACACTGAGTTGGGTGGGAGTCTTGACCTGATAGAGGGTATCAAGGCTCTGCAGAGGAACCTGGACATACTGGATCGGTGGGCCAAGGCCAGCGGTATGAGGTTCAATAACATGAAGAGTCAAGTCCTGCATTGGGGTTACAACCATCTCATGCAGCACTACCGGCTTGGGGAAGAGTGGCTAGAAAGTTACCTGGCAGAAAATAACACGGGGGTGCTGGTCCACATCCAGCTGAACATGAGCCCAGGCAGCCAAGAATGTCAGTGATATCCTGGCTTATATCAAAAATAGTGTGGCCTGAAGGACCAGGGCAGTGATCACTCCCCTGTACTAGGTATTAGTGAGGCTGCACTTTGAATCCTGTGTTCAGTTTTGCGCCTCTCACTACAAGAAGGACATTGAGGTGCTGGAGCATTTCCAGAGAAGGGCAACAGAGCTGGTGAAGGGTCTGGAGCATAAGTATGATGCAAGGTAGCCGAGGGAGCTGAGGTTGTTTAGCCTGGAGAAAAGGAGGCTCAGGGGAAACCTTATCACTCTCTACAACTACCTGAAAGGAGTTTGGAGCAAGATGAGGTTTGGTTTCTTCCAGACAACTAGTGACAGGACAAGAGGAATGACCTCAAGCTGTGCCAGGGCAGGTTTAAGCTGGACATCAGGAAGAATTTCTTCACTCAAAGGGTGGCTAAGCATTTGAATGGAGTGTCCAGAGAAGGGGCGGAGTCACCATCCCTGGAAATATTCAAAAAACAACTAGATGTTGCACTTAGTTCTGTGGTTTACCTGACAAGATGGCATTCAGTAAAAGGTTGGACTCAATGACCTTGGAGGTCTTTTCCAAACTTAATGGTTCTGCGACACATTTTTAACAA